GTCACTACTCAACTCCAGTTGCCATGGCGTTCCTAGCTGTAACCGCTTGGCAGCCTGAACCTCGTGAGCCACACCATACGTACAATTCATACAATCACCAAGCTAATAGTCATGTTTTCATGAACACCACCATCCTGTAGTTTTACATAGTTTTTGTATGTTTTTTTTTTAACGTGGCGATCCAGTCCTGGCGCCTAGCTTCTACTCTACACCAAGCACTGGCCTACTGATTCCCCCATTCCCCGTGCCTCTGATTTTCGGCTGTCTCCACCAGCTGAGGAAATGGAACTCCTCGCTCTTTGGCTTGCCCCACGACCTGCAACAAATTATGCTGGTTTACAGTATATCATGTAGGTATGTATATATATATATGTATTCGTTATATATATATGCATTATGTATATATAAATATATGTATGCATTATATATATATATATGTATTCGTTATATATATATGCATTATGTATATATATATGCATTATGTGTATATATATATATATGCATTATGTGTATATATATATATTCATTATGTATATATATATATATATCCATGGTAACATGATTGTGAATGGAGCGGTGATCCAAACCTGTAACCATCTGAGTAGTGATTGGTAGTGATCAGAATCCAAGAATGGACGGTAATCTGAACAAATTGTAGAATGAATGCAGAAAGTGACTCAATTACTATCTGTGGTTCACAATGTGTCAAATTGTTTGACCCTGACCAAAGCACTGGTCGCCAACACAAGGGCTTGCCCTAGCTTCAACTACAACACCCAGCAGCTTGTAGAACAACATTTATAAATTTATAATCATTTATATATATATTCAAGTAGAAAATCTCATGTGTCATCTGGCATGTTACCCCCTACAAGCCTTCCTGTGTCATCCGTCTTCCCATCCTGGTCTTGGACATCTCTAGTGCCGTCTGTGTGCAACAAGCATATGAAATAAACCAACATCACCCGTGGGGTAAACATATATAATTTCATATAGTGATATATATATATACACCTAGGGATATGTGTTATATTAATCGCATATCCATATATTAACTGAAGTCATATGTGGGATACACCTCAGTTAGTTAATCGCCACGCCACGCCTGCATGAGATGAGACTCCACCGGGCGGCAATGGAGTATGGGACCCACCTGCCATGCGCCATGCTGTGCGCATTGCCCAGCTGCCAGAGGCTCTGTGGCCCCTTGTTTTACTTGTAACAGCATCAATTTGTTGAGGGAAGTTGAGTAAACCTTAGTTAGGGATAGATGATAATCATGGCAAATGGTGGATGGATGCTGATTAATGGTGGTATATAATATATATATATAGTGGTGAATAATCAACAATCATGATTCATGGGGATAAATGGAACTATTTGGTCATCAGCCACGTGGCTGATGAACAAAAATCCTGGGAAAATCATCGAACTTTTTAGAGGGTATCATCATTTTCCCTGGGGTCAAAACAATGCCATTTTTACCACCCAGTCGACTGGGAATGGTAACCATACCACCTATAAAAATGGTGATGACTGGAGGATAGTTTATTATTGTTTTCCCACATTATTCCTTATGCCATGAATTGAGGTAACCCCCATTTTCGGACGTACTGGGTTGGGAAAATGTCAGACCTATGGGACTATAAATGTTGGTCACCATTTAGTATTATCTATTATTAATCTTTAGTAACCATCTAAATTTAGGGACTATCCCCATCTACCTCATTCCCCTATTGAAGAACAATCCAAAATGAATCATCCAACGGCATTATCCATGGCTATGTTGAAGAATTTTGACCCAGATACATCTCACAATGTTTGCCTAATTTCCATTCATGTATAGTCTTTATCAATGTCTGACAATTGAATCCCCATGTCCATATTTCTATGCAATCATGTTTTGCTAACATTGACCATCCAGAAGAGCAAATGAACTATAGTATTGGTATTATAGATGGAATGTGACCACTGCCGATATGGAGGTGTCCTAAAATGCGGGTACCCCCACATCATCCAAGTCATTAGACCGTTTTAGCATTTAAACACATTTAAACTATTTCAAACCCATGGTGACTTAGGGATAGCCCATGACTTAAGCACCCCCCAATGCCCCCATATGTAATCCAGATGTATATACCCTCTGGCAACTTGACATAGCTATTGTTAAAATGGTCATCTTATAGTTGATTTACCTATAACAAAATGATACCCTCTGGTAATTTAACATAGCTATGGAAAATCACCATTTTTAATGGGAAAAATCACTATAAATGGCCATTTCCAATAGCTATGTTAGTTTACCAGAGGGTATTGTCCATAGCTATGTGATGCTCTGTGGCTGTTTACCAGAGGGTAAAGACTGGGCGATCTCCAACATCCAAGGACCGTAGCCAAGGCAGCCAAGGCACTAGACGTCGAGTCGCCATGCTACACTCCTCCAAAGCATCTGCCACCTGGCCGACGAAAGGACGGCAAGACTGGGCACCAAGGGGGTGGTTCTTGTAGTTTTAAATTACATAACCCAGATGCTCCATAGTGCTGGAATATTTATCAACATTTGCCTCGAAAATCACAAAAAGTTTTGTAGGTAAATATACCAGCACCATGGTTCGCATCTGGGTGGTTCAACCACATTCATTTGGGATAGCGTGAATCAAAGAAGTGGAAGTGACCGGATTAGACCAGTTGATTCACATAAAATGTCAGTGAATTTCTCCTTCAAGCGAACTGAACGTATCAGTTAATCACTAAAGAAACTGAACTTCTTTGGTACGGAGGATAAATCTTCCAGAATCCTATGAGGGATGGTGTCATTTCCATCCATTTCCTATCAGGCAAAAAAGCATCTGGTTGGTGGTTGAGCCTACCCCTCTGAAAAATATGTGTGAAAGTCAGTTGGGATGATGAAATTCCCAATATATGGAAAGTCATAAAATTCCATGGTTCCAAACCACCACTTAGCCCGAGCGCATAAAGTATATGGAAAGTCTAATCAAATTCCATGGTTCCAGTCACCAATAGTCACCACCAACCAGGCATGCTATAGCAATATGTTGCACCCCTCCAGCATCCTCCAGCCCTTCTTTTTAAAAACCGAAACCAGTCCACCTCTCTGCGGAAGTCGTTGGACTGTTTCACCTGGAGCTCAAGGGAGTCGGTGAGATCAACTTAACGCAAAAAATGTCCCAAAATTTCACGCGCACCCTAGTTTTTAGTATTTTTGAGGTACGTTTAGTAAAGGGAGGAGGGGATTAGTCTCATTCACATCCGAGAAGAAATCATCAGCCGAAAGATAGGCTGAGCAGTGGCTGCGCTATCAGCTCTCATATTCCTTTATATGCCAATGCCAACTCCTGGAATGCGTCCCTCGCGCCTGCTGAAACTGTTCGAGCCAAGTGTTCTTTCTCAACCTTGGTGTTGGTTCTTCCCTCCGTACCGGTCGATGATATCTGGGCCTGATCCGTCCAACTATGGTGACGACTATGGTGGTGCGTTCAATCTAACGAACGAATACTGGTTGGTGGTTTTAACCATCTTGAAAAATATGAAAGTCAGTTGGGAAGGATTATCCCATATATTATGGAAAATAAACAATGTTTGAAACCACCAACCAGAAGAAATATTGAGTTGCAACAGTTAACAACCACACATCTCAGTTAAACATTATAATGTTCATCATTGACTGCAAAACCTTTCTTCCGCTCACGGAGAAGTTTTGACCCGTATCCATCTGAACCTGTCTTCGAATTATCAGGATGTCTGAAAATACCCCTGATTCCACATTTTTAAAAATGATCATGATCCCATATGATCATCATCCCTATTTAAATAGCCGTTTGGGGAGACAATAATGTACAATGGTGTACATGATTTTTAGGCACACCATGGCTGAACTCTTTCCGTTGAGGTCATATGAGGTCATCGAAGGCACTTCCAATGGTCATCAGACTGGAGAAGCGCTTTCCTGGCGAAATGGAACCGAAATGGAACTTGAATGTCTGATGAATCTTGATCCTGGGTTCACAGCCAGTTTCACATAAAAATATCTATGTCTATTTTATTCTCTTTTCATGGGGAAACTGGGGAAACTGGGAAAATTCTATAGAAAGCAATGTAGAAATTGGGATGGGGATGAGTCTTTCTATGATTCATCCGAAGGGAAACAACAGTCACCTTATCGAGTCGAATATCTTTCAATTGGACGTGTACCCGGTACATGTTCAAAAAAATGATCAATTTTCAACCAATAATATTGAGATCTATATATATATATATATATCCCTGTTTGATCTTGGAACCTTTGTCAGTCCAAAAAACTGAGCTTTTTTATACTACTGGACAGGATGAAAAGAATAACAGCACATGGCACAAGTTCTCCAAACATGACATTTAAATCAACTGTACATTTAATATAATTTAATTAAATTAATTAATCATCTAGATAAAAAAAGAGAGAACCCCTGGAAATGCCATGCAATCAGCTTCTGAAAGATCTGTCATGTCCCGTCTTTCTGCTTGCCTTTTGCTTAACTTGCAGCCCAGCTTCATGTGCGGCTTCCGCGCTGCATTGTTCCAAAACCTCGGGTCCTGGCACCGTTTAGCTGAAAAACATGTTCAACAATTCCCATCAATTCCCATCAAGTGCGACATGTTTGTTGAGTTCCCAATGTTTAAACTTACCAACATCATTAAAAAAACATGTGCATTTTCTCAGTTCCACATGCTTGCTATTCGGCCGGCCCGGCCTCGTGGCTCAAGAAGAAGTTGGGATTTTCTCGCGGATCCGTCTGCTCCCTCTGCAGCTGTTGTGACCTAACGATGCTCGCCGATGCGATGCAACCGCTAGCGCTCTTCCAGACATGTTGGGAAACATCATCCCTAGCTGGAAAGTCCAATAAAGAATGAAGCCACCTAGAATGTAGATACCAAATCTTTGACACCTCATTTTGGCCCCACTTCCAAACCCAAAAGCAGCGAAAACTGGCTCAAGTCGCACCTTTTCGTCTACCGCAACGGCGGATTGTGAAGCAAATCGATGCAGGCGCAGCGTTTGCCGCACTCTCTGCAGCACTCTGTACCCAGTTCTAAAAGTGATGCCTGCAACCCCAAAAAAACAAATTCAAAGGTTCCAAGCATTGCCATTTGACTTCCTATCTTGTGAATCCCAGCCTGCATGAACCGGCCATTGAAGCCATGATGGGCGGAATTTCAGCTGCCACAAATTATCGGTGAATCGGGATACGAAAAAACCCAAGAAACGGGCTGAGAAGCCAAAACTGTTTGAGACCACCAACCAAAACCAAGTCAACTTGGGAATCCAAGAGGGAAATCTTCCAAAAGTCTCATGTTCCAAGCCCAGTTCTGAGCCAAACTACGCGGAAACATCTGGGTCGTTCGTCCTTAGGGGTTCGTCATGGAAAGCACGGCAGAAGACTTCGGAGCCAAGATCTCTGAGCCTTGGGGAAAGGATGGAAAAGGATTGTCTAAAACCGGGTGCAACTGACAAACCCCAAGGATGTTTGGACTTTTACCCAACAATATCGGGTATACATCGGGGATATTGACCAAACATAGATATTATGGGTATATATTGGGGATACCGGCTGGAACATATCCCTTGGTCTATTTCTATTTTGATGGTCGGGACGTGGTCATTGGGGCGGTGGGGCTTGTGCATCAAGAATAGGGTGACTAACCCATGAATGATATAATGATATATATATATGTACAGTATATATATAATTATATAATAACATATAATAACCAACAATATGAAGTAAATGGGTGCCTCTAAAAAGATTAGGAAGGGATCCTATTATACGTAGCCCATCTTCGATCCCCAATGCCCAAGGAAAATTTGTTAGGTTTCTCCAGGAAACGTGTCCTTTCTAGGCTATGGGGCCCAAGTAGAAAGAATGGAGTCCAGTAGAAGCTGAATGAACCTGGTATATATTGGTACATTGGTACTTTTGGACAAGGAATCACACTGAAATCCTTGCCATTAAAAAAAACTGGCACATGGATTTGAATGTTATTATGTAATATTATGTATACTGTATACATATACATGGTGAATCTTAGATACCCGGCAACAAAAATGCTGGTTCGTACACTTTGACATTGGTAGCAAAATATTGAAGTATCAAAGTATCTAACCAGGGTTGACCCAGTATATATGTGAATAGCAGCTTTGCATATGACTTTGAATGGTATTTCTAAAATTGACAAAGATGGCAATATGTCCTTTTGCCAATCCCCTATCTTGTGGATTTGTGAGATATGGGGTTCCAATTGGTTGCCTCAAAGTTTGGAACCCCTCACAGAATTGCGACATCGTCTAATGGCCATAAACTTGATCCCCAGAAATTGCTAGGGAAAGATGCCTCTAGCAGTTTCAAGTAGTGGGATAGCCAGAACATGGAAGTTACAAACTGGTCTATTGAGTAGGAGAGCCTTTGGGGTCTGGGTTACACCTCATGTTTCTTTGGACATACACAATTGAGTCCTTGAGATTTAGACCCTGAACTGTTTGATCATCAACCAGCAGTCCTTTAGGACCTACTCAGCTTCAACTGATACCTTAACAAATTGCTGCTCTGAGTCGACCTGATGGGCTTGATGCTATCTTGGAGAAAGAGAGATGTGGCTTGTTAAAATCAGGATATCACTCTTTGCTCCACTTTAGAGCTGAAAGTTCACAAAAATCCTCAAAAGGACTCAAACAATTGCGGCGCGATCATACTCGTCTGGTTGGTGGTTTTAACAATCTTGAATAATATGAAAGTCAATGGGAAGGATGACATCCCATATATATGAAATGGATTGAAATGTGGAAAATAAAATTCATGTTCCAAACCACCAACCAGTCGTTTATTGTCCATCCACCAAACATGTCAGGCTGCAAGCGGACCAGTTGTCTGTTTCAGCTGGATCTCTTCCAACCTCATGGCACGCTGTGGCGGCAAGGGAGCGGTCGGATGCGGTCGGTGTGTCGTTGTCATCCAATGTTGCCAGGCCACAGCCTGGACGCTGCTGCTATACCTTTTGTATACCATTTATCATGTACCCTCTGGTTTTTTAACATAGCCATGGAAGCCATGGCCCATTTATAGATGGTTTACCTGTTAATAGCATGGTGATTTTCCATAGCTATGTTGAATAACCAGATGGTAGCTATTGGAAAAAACGTGGGCGACTTCTCTTATAATCAAGCAACGATAGAAAAACATCTATGGTTCCAACATGTTTCAACTCTTCCACTGACCCAAATCTTTTCATGTTCAGCTCCACAATCCGGTAAATTCACTGGCAACGATGATCCCCGGTGTTTTTCCATGGTCAATAAGAATCTGGCATCATAGATGGGCAACCCAAGCTTCGCTTCAGAAGGCCCGTTAGGACCGTCAAACATTAGCACTCACAGACCTGAAAACTAAGATGGCATCACCAAAACCGGAGCCTTAGACTTTACATATCCATACATATCCATAACATACTCATGTTTTTCCAATTAAAAATAGTAATTCCTTTGGGTTTCATGTAAATCTTCAACCTTTCATGGTGCACCCCCCACAGTCCCTAGCCCAGTTCTGAGTGCCCCGGACCATCTCCTGGCACTCACAGGAAACGCTGGAAACGGTGGACTGACCGTTGACACCCAAGTTATTGCAATTTAATGCTATATAATACCACTATCAATACCTATAATTTAACATGTTTAAGATAATTTATCCCTATAGACAATTACACCATTTTTAGGGGGATGAACATCCATAACTACAGGATGGTGCCCCTTAGTTGTAAGTTGGTTTTTGTCAACCCCATTAACAAATTCGTTTTATCTACCATAAACCATAGAATTCAGCCACTTATAGGGCCACTTAGCTATTTTGGGCCCCCATCCTGTAGGAACCTCACTTATAATATATATATATATTTATATTTATAATAATAATTATTATTATTATGATAATAAAAATAATAATTAAAATTATATTATAATATATATATATACAGTATTATTTTAAACTAGTTCAAACTCATCAACCCAGTTTTGTTTGGGTCCAATTGTCTTAGTTTACTTCACACCGGTCTTTCTGCCGCAACCAGTGCAGCTGAGCCACGCTTGATCGAAGGGATTTTTGTTTCCTGAGATCTGTGGATGTGGATCCCCAATATCAAAGTTCAAACCCTTGGAATCCAAATGACGCTTACCCTCTGGTAAACTAACAGTTTGCTATCAAAAATGGCCCAGTCGAAATAGTGGATTTACCCATGAAAATCGCATGGTGATGTTCCATAGTTAGTTACGTTAGTTTACCAGAGGGTATCTTAAACTTACCCTCTGGTAATTTAACATAGCTATTGAAAATCACCATGTTTAATGGAAAATTCCACTATAAATGGCCATTTTCAATAGCTATGTTATATAAATTACCAGAGGGTATCTTAGAGGTTTGGAGCCAAGAAAATGCCGTTTTTCCCATCCAATGCCCAGGGACCAACTGGATTGATCTGGACCCAGAAACAACATACGTCAGGGCATTTTGTCGCCCTGTGAAAGGTAAGCCCCTCAAACAATCAACACACGTGCATATAAATCCATTTTTTTAATGCATATTACATTCCATGCATATGCATCTATATTTTTTTATGCAGCATAGTCATTGTCATCATCATTTCCATTTGCAACAAGCCAGAACTTCATTGCCAATCTTGGATATCGCCCAAAAAACACCCATCAATTCATAGCTGGTTATCAATATATACCATAATTACATCATATATATATATATATCATATATATATACATACACACACCATATTCATATATATATATATACATATTGGCCATGGATCAATACCTATAATTATACATTTTTTAGGATGTTCCCAATGTTATAATTCCCATGTTACAACAATTAGCTATAGTGTGTTATATTTATTATTATAAATATACCTATTTAATGCTATATAATACCAATATCAATACCTATATATAATTATACGTTTTTAAGATAATTTCATCCCTATAGATAATTACACCATGTTCAGGGGGATGAACATGAATCCATAACTACAGGATGGTGCCCCTCAGTTATAAGTTGGTTTTTGTCAACCCCATTAACTCGTTCGTATCATAGATGTTATTTGCGTATCATAAACCATAGTGGAATTGGAGTTATTTAAGCACCAACTGAACGCACAATTTCATTTGGGCCCCACATTGTACCCTCTGGTAATTTAACAGTTTGCTATTGAAAATGGCCATAGAAATAGTGAATTTTCCCATTAAACTGTTTTTTGTTGATTTAAACCTCTATAATCACCATGAAAAATCCCATTCAACCATATTAAACCACCATTTTTCATCCCATGGAAAATCACCATAGTAAAATCCAGAAGCGATTTTGATCATCCATCCACGAAGTCGGCCAAGGTGCTGCCCTGCCCCAGCCCCGTCATTTCGCTCAGTGTGAAGTCGCGCACCGCCATACGGCGCCCGGCCAACTTGGCCGTCCAGGACCTGGACGTTGGGAAGAAAAACCTTGGGACGTTGGGGATTTATTTTCAATGGGAAGATATGGTGATAATTGGTGATCTTTCATGGGATTTACTGAGATTTGAACGCGAAAATACGGGAACATCATCTATAAATGGAGCTTTTATTGAGACATATAGCGCAGCAACAACAACAACAACAGCAGCAGCAGCAACAACAACAACAACAACACCAGCAGCAGCAGCAACAACAACAACAACAACAAAAACATTAACATTAACAACAGCAACAACAACAACAACAACAACCATCCCCATCCCTTCCAGTCCCTTGCAGCCTGCATACTCGATGGATCGCCTTCCAATCCTCTCCGTGGCACGCGGCTGGAAATCACCAGTTTTTTGGCATCCCTAGAAATAGAATGAAATAGATAGTGGGAAAAAACTGTATAATTATGTATTATCATTTCATTGTTATATTGTTATCATTGCATATCCGGGATTCCTATTTTTCTCCTGCTCTCACCAAAGAATTGCCTCACTCTGTGATTTCATATCGCGCGGAGAATCACAAAGACTTAGCAACCCTCAAAAAGGTGATTTGTTTTCGCCCTTAATGCTTGGTGATTTACAAATCAGAAACTCACCAGTCAGTCAGTTCGATGATTTTCCCATGAAAAGCACAAGGCTGGTGGTGTTTTCACAGCCATGCTGTTTTTTGTCCGGGGAATTCTCCAAGAACTTGGAGTCAGGGTCCCCTTGATTCATATCCCATGATTCATATCCCCATGATACCACCATGGGAATGATGCTGAAATCCCCATGAAATCCTGTGAAATGCCCATGAAATCCCCATGTTTGATGCTCACCATACATCCCCCATCCGCCAAGCTTCCACCGGTCTCTTGGTCAGCTCAGGTGCCACTGCCAAGCGGCACAAGGAGCAATGGATGTAGCCGTGCGCCGAGCCACCGACCGTCTTTACCTGGAACTCACGAGCCCCTCGCTGCCGGGGAAAAAACGCGCGAAGGCAGCTGATTTATAAAAGGATCCAACTGGTGATGTACTTTTGGTATATGAAATGACCAATAATATCCAATAATATATATATGGTGTATGTATATATATATGGTATATATATATATATTGTATGTATGTATATATATATATATATGGTATATTGTATGTATGTATATATATATTGTTATATGATATCAATCTGTTTCTTCATTCACCTGAAGTAATGCCGCACCATGAGGGATAGTTACAGCCTTACATTCACCATCACTTCTCGTGACGTCGTGGCGGCTGGATCCTGCGATAGGGTTGAACATGTTCAACATCTGCTTAAAGCCAACATAGCTATTGAAAATGGTCATTTATAGTGGATTTTCCCATTAAAAATGGTGATTTTCCACAGTTATGTGGCTGTTTACCAGAGGGTAACGGCTGGTTGCTGGTTTTAAGCCATCTCAAAAAATACGGCTCTTTTTCAACCCAAATACGGCTCCTTTCGTATGGTTGAAAGAATCAATAGATGTTTGAAACCAGCAACTCGTGGTTTAGATATGTTTAACTTATAGTAATTTCCGGCAAAAAACTGGCCATCTTGGGAGAACCCCATGGAAGTCATCAAATGAGGGCCTGGGCCAGTTTTGAAAACACCGACCTGAGGGGAACCAAGGAAACCCATGGAAAACCGACCTAAGTTTTTGTGATGAACAAAAACACCACGTAGACAATAGATCAACAGTTTGTTTAATTAACATGTTGAATTGACTATTCAATCTGCTTTCATGATCACTTTAAAAGAATGGGAGCATCATTCCCATGGCTTTGCGGCGCCATGCTTCGTGTCAGCGGGGATAGGCCGGGAAAAAAACTCGTTACGACTCCGACTCGAGTGATAACTTGATAATAGATGGGTCGTGGGTACATGTGGGTGCTTGATACCATCTATCATCTTTTAGTTTTATGGGGGGGTGTTCTTAAAAAGGAGACTCCCCAAGTCCCTATGGGTTTCAATACTAAAATATACTAAAAGGATCCAATGATGTGGATGATTTGGGGGTTAGGAAACCTCCATATGACTAGTTCAAAGGGTAATTATCTAACTACAGTAGATTGGCAGGGTCATGCTTGGAAAATTTCATGGGTCACCAATTATTTTTGGAGGGCAAATATCCAAGTTACCATCCCTTCAATTTTTCAGTCAAGGGGCAATGGTTGCCTGCCTCAGCAAATGTGGATGCTCATGCACTTGAGCGAGATCCAGCTCATTCTGCCGTTGGATGTGCGACAGCTTCTTTTCCTGCGGAAGTGCTGGTATATATATATATGGGTAAATTATAATAATTCACTAACCTGAATTAAGGCCATTTGGGGATGATTTCCCTTACTAACTATGATTTCCAGTGAGGTCGCAGTGAGGTCGTTATAATTTGCCCAGATATATGTATATATTATAAATATATAACCATAATGTTATCATAGTATACACTATAGGTATAGGCGCTGCACGTCCCAATTTATCTAAATTTATGGGGGAATCCCACAGCATGCTCCTTTTGTTAAAAAAAACAAACATCTTTTGTTCACCCCAAGAAACGGCCGCGTTGGCGTTTCCTTGGGACTGTCCCCAAGAAACCCCATCGTCCAAGCGTCCAAGAAAACGTACAGTACGTCCGATCTCAGAGAGGTCATTGGATCCAAAGTATCGCTGCCACGATCACTGAGGATGTCGTGCACCGGCACGACCTTTTCCGAGAATCCGATGGGTTTCCGAGGTCATCGGAGATCCACTGGTGTAATATATCTATAGCTCATGGGGAATATCATGGAACATAATGGAATATAATGGACTATTGAATATGTATATATATATATACATAGATAAATTTAACTAAATATATCATAGTATATCCTGTTGTGTTTGTTTTGGTGATTCATATATATATATATATATATCCTCTGGTAATTCACAGTGGAAAATGGATAAGCGTGGCCCATTTAGCGATGATTTACATAGTAAACTAGTGATATTGAATAGTTATGTAGTTTTGTTAATCTACCACCGATGGAACATGTTTGGTATCTCTAAGGATTACTTGCCCAACTTTTTGGAACTATACTGCTACTGGGACCTATATCATTTTGGAATCGATTGGCACACATTGTGAACCCACCGTCTTCTGCCACATAGCAGCTGTTAGCAAACCATACTATTATTGATATCGATTGTTTTTGAAACAGCCGCCAAACAATGCCAAACATATGTAGTGCATTGTTTTCGTGCCTGCAGGTGTGCACTCCTTCCAATCTGAACAGTCAACGGTTTTCGACAGTTCACACTTGCAAACAATCAATCAACATGCTTCGTCCCAAGAAAATAGTCACTGGTGTTAGGGTGTCACTACATTTATGCAAAAACTATGAGGTGAACAAACATAGATGTTTTCCATTACTAGGAGCTCCTTCTATCCAGGCACATTTTTTGGCAGAATCTCTATCCTTGGTGCCCATGGTGGGATGGTCGAAGTTCAGCATCAAACTCGCTGGGCACTTCGCCGCGATTTTTTTTGGAACGTGGCCGCTGGTGGATTTTGAAAAAAAACATGCTGGCCATGCTGTTGGGCGGTTACTGCCTTTTTTCACTGGTTGATGCCATTGGTTGAGTGGGGGATCAGAACCAATTGTTCATCCTCTGAGAATACCCTGGTTGGTGGTGCAATTTCACCATCTTGAAAAATGATGGAGTGAAAGTCAATGGGTTTCGGATGACATCCCTTTTTTTATGAAATGGAAAATATGTTTGAAACCACCAAGCAGTAGATGATTAAGGGAGGGTAGCAGAAGCATCCTAGCATTCCGAACCATAATGGGCACCTTGCCACCGAGAAAAGGAACCTAGCCTTGCCGGCCTAGCCTTGCCATCTGTCGCTCCCACAGCTCTGAAGAGTGCCAGGAGGGAACCATCTTTGGTGAGCACCAGTCGATCCACTTCCAACACAAAGGCCTGCAGTTTCGGAATGGCAAGAGGCCAAAATCTGGAAGTCAAGCTGTAACAAATTGGTTTGGATCTAAACAACATTTTTATTGGGATGTCATTTTATAGATCTAATCATCCAAAATGATGTTCCAAAAAAACGAAACTACGTCTGGACTTCTTGTGGCCATGTAAAAATTGATCATTTCCAATGCGGTTAAAAACAATCATAAACCACCCCCCGTTGGGGATGGTTTGTGGCATTGTTTTACCTACCAACAGGTAGGATATTTCTAGCATAAAACCATCCCACCCAGCGTGTAAGTCAGTCAAGGTATTGGACCTTTGCACAGGCCACGGGGAAGATCAAGAACAGTGGATGGAAGAAGAAATCCTGCACCAGTTTGTAGCTATAGGATCCCATAGGCTATAGGTAACTATATGAAAGCCCATAAATCATCTACCAACTGGTTTTTAGGATTTCTCAACCATCCACAGCTTCCACCTTTCATGGCAGCCTCATGGTCCGCAGCGATGGTATGTAGGGCTTTCGCCACTTCGCGATTGTAGGCATCGTGCGCAGGACCCACGTTGGGTTCCCGCCAAAGGCTGGGAATGCACACGGTGACGTGCAGGTCTTCGTCTTGGATGTGGGCCTTAGGGAAACCCTGACCGTCCCGACGGTGTTTCAATCGGGTGGTATAAAAACCGACCATGGGAACAGAATTGGTGATGTATAGCGCCATATAGCGCCATGAATTAACCCATTAACCGACCAAGAATATGATATTTGAGTTTGCCCAAAACCCAGTTTGTTTGTTGGGACAGTTTACTTCGTTCAGACAAGTGTTGCCATTTTCCTCCCACGCATCACGTTCATCCCAGCATTGGTTTCTAACTGGTGACATCCCAGACATATTAGAGCCCCCCAAGACCTATATGCGAACACCATTTGGTAACCGTACAACTTCAGGTACTTGGCGTATCGGGAAGTTTCGAACTTCTCTCACTACTTAACTACAAGCCACTTATGAATCAGTAACAAAAACAAAAGACATATACTTGGAACACTCTTGGAACCCCCAAAAATCCCAGGCATCAAGCCAGTTCACCCCACATTCAACAGATCCAAGGCTCGAAGTCCGGCACCCAAACTGGGCTCCTCTCCACATCCGCTGCTGGCTCCTCCGTGAGGCTCCGGAGGACCTCCTCCCGCGCCTCTGCGAAGAGGCGCCGCAGGGGCTCACAGATGCGGATTGACACGGCCAACCTCGGGGCGGAGGGTTGGAAGTTGACGGATGTTGTGAGTGATCCCATGTGATTTAAGCAGTTGAACTATAACATGTTATAACATCTATTAAAATCATTGGACATCTAAAATATGATAAAAAACCAAGCAAATGAATTGCTGCTGATTCTGCAGTAAACATGCAATAAACCAGGCAACTGCGTCTTGCCGTCCTCCGTCACAAAACCCTTCTCGTATAACCTTCGCTTCTCAAGCATCGCCTTGCAGGTGGAAACGATGGTACCGCTATGGCAGCCATGGCACGTAAAACCATCCGTTTTTCGGGGATGCATTTCATTGGTATTTTGGGCATTTCAGGAGCCATGAGAGTACCAATCCTTCCTGGAAATTGACTATATCTAACTACACGTGATATATATATATATACGTATATATATATATATATAATGGTAAACCCAATGTCATTAATCATCCTCAAAATCATCACTTATATAGTTAGTTTTATGGCATTGGGTTTACCAGATTAGTAAAATCCACATCCGAAATTTATGGATGCTTTTCCCATTAAAACAACATTTGTTGGAGAGGAGTTTCCAGTTAAACCCTTGATTTATAGATATGTTTCCCGATCTTTTCCTATGGGGAACAAACATATTGAGCATCATTGATGAGCTGTTGCTTAAACAAATACACTTCACATGAACTACTTAAAAGACAAATAATAAACATGTAATATATGAATATATGCGAAATGCACTGGTAACGCACTGAGCTCTTTTCACCGCAGGGGCGAAAGTAAAATGAAACAAATGAATTCAGCTGTCTTACTGTTATGTGTACACTTCTCTGATTTGTGCTTGTCACTCTTGCCAACTGGTGCACTTCTCTATTTGTGGCGTGTCATCCAACCTCTGCTGGACTTCTATGATTTGTGCGTGTCATCTGCCGCAGCAGACCTGAAAACACCTGGGCCACTAAGGCCATCTGAGTTCGGGCCAGCTGAAGAAACAAATGGCGTCAAAGTCAAAGATAAAGACAAAGTCAAGCTACCTGATGCAGCGGCCGTTGGACGAAGGAAAATCTCACACTCCTTGTTTTTATTTTGTTGACTTTGAATCGGATTCTGAACTGTGCTTCATGTCTTGTACCTCTCTCGCCAGTCTTTTGATTCGATCATCCTTGATCTTCTGCTTCATCGGATCTTCCTTCAAAATCTTTCGACGGTTCTGCCGCTGTGCCCTCTTCTTTTCCTTGATCTGCTTGTTTGCCTCTGTCTGGACGAGACAAATCTTCCCATCTCGCAAGAATTCAAAAAGGACATTCATGTCAGCTTTTGCCTTAGTCAAAATGTTTGCCATGTTCTGTTCTCCATCTATCCATCTAACTGCAGCATTTCTGCGGCGCACTGTCTCTCTCAGCAAAGCGCCTTCCAGAGCCATGCGACGATCACTGCTTGTGCTAGTGGAGTCTTTGCCCAAGTAATCAAACACGCTTCTGGCATCTGTTACGTAGATGCGCGGTCTTTCTTCCACAATTTTGTCCCAGTCCTTGAGGTTGATCTTGCCGTAAAGCGCTTCTGCTAAAACAACAATGAGCCAGTCACCTGCTTCGACTGCCTCTGCCAGATGTGCTGCTTCAGCAGCTAAAGTACTTCTGCAAACACGTTTCGTCTGAGATGATTGGTAAGCCAGAACGTTGGCCCGGACTTCCTGTCCTTCTGAAACACCGGGGTTTGCCAGCAAAAGGAAATATCCTCCAACTGATCTGTACTTCATGATGTCGTCATTCTCAGGGGTTCCATTGGCATGTCCACTATCTGCTAAATGAACTACCACCGCCTTGTATGGATCAACATCTGACCAGAAACGCTGTCGAAAATCGGCTGCTCGCCGTGCACTGCTGACTGCCATTCTCAACCTCACCAAATCTGCAACACATGGGTCAGACTTGCTTCTCTGAAGACATCCGTTCTCGAAGGCCAAATCACTTCTGAGCTGTCTTGCAACCCATCCCAGTTCGCCACAAGAAGACTGCATCGTCTCTTTCTCCTCAGCGGTCAGCCTGGCTTCCAAATGCTTTCTTCTTTCTCTGTCGATCTTCACAGGCCGCATGCTTCTGACATAGTTGCTCATGGTGACGTCTATGTGACCTCCTGCAACTTGTTTGATCTCACGGCCACGAAAAGTATAGCTGTCGAAATGATTGGTTGCAAACTCCAAAGCCAGAGAACTCTTCTGAAAGGCAGACTCCAGGTAGGCGGCGTCAACCCCAGCCTGGATATCATCCACGTGTGTCACAAGGATGCCGCGCAACTTCAATGAAGAATCTCGCAGGTAAAACAAAGCTGGCTCCAGTCTGGATTCGCACCAGCCATCACTCTGCAAGTGTTCACGAAGCGCCAGCCAGAAAAGCCTGGCTGCTTCGGCAAACCCGTAGATTGCCTTCCTGGCTCTCATGACCTGTCCTGGCAAAACTCCTGGTAAACCACCTTTAGGAGGAAGTAGATATAGTTCTCTGCCTATCTCTTTGCCAGAAAAGTATGCATTCTTGATGTCTTTGCAAACCATTTTGAAACCAAAAGCTGCTGAGAGAGACAAAACGATAGCTTCTGCTAGAGCTGAACCTGTGGGTGCATCACGCCGAAATTGACCAAGTGAACGGTCTTTGAAACCTTGCACAACTAAACGGGACTTCGGGAAGAAAGGTTCATCTGGCTTCCCATCTGACTTGTTGGTTCTCACCCACCTTGTTGGTATGAGACAATGCTGCTTGTCTCGGAGCACTTTTCTGCTTTCTTCAAGAGGAAGAACTTCTACTGCACCTTTCTCAAGCCATGCTCGCCATTCTTTGGCATCTGATCCTTCCGGACCGTCGAACAAAACACGTGTTTCTCGGTCCAAATCTTTGAGATATAGCTCCTTGCGTGCCTTCTTCTTCACAAGTGGAGGAGCATCGTCTTGGCTTTGAGACGAAAGTGAACTTTCCAACAACTGCATGTATTGGTCGTAGAAGTCATTACGTTGTGCTCCAAAAAGGAAGGTCTCTTCATCAACACCAAGCGCCTCAAAAGTGTTAGCCCTTGCCTGATAACAAGCCTTTGACTGTTCCTCTAAGAAATCATCCTCCACCAAAGCCAGAAAACAAAAGGAACTGTTTGCGTCAGACGGCGTCGAGGCTTCTCCAAGTCGCAGTCGTTTCGCTGCTCTTTCCTGTGCTTCATCCACATCATCTGCTTCCATGATTGGAGGTGGAGTTTCTGCGGGAACTGCTTGGTGAAAATCATCCAACTCTGGGTCAAAGTCAGGGCCAACCGGAACTTCAAAGGCCTCACGCAAGGTCACATCCGGGATGGTCTCTAACCTTGCTTTCTTGCTTTCTCTGTCTTGTTGCCTCCTCCGCTGCTGCTGCTCAAAGAAATCAAACTTCCTTCTCTCTTTTCGCTGCTCTCTTTCAGACTCAAGCTGCCACCGTGCTGCTGAAGTTGAGCTTGCTGAAAGATCATCTTCTGATGCTGGCGGCTGCTGGACATCACCTAGCGGTGGGTTGCCATCTTGCTCCTGCTGTTGTTCTTCATCCCTCGGAACTTCTGGCAAATCCGCTTGCTCTGCATCTTCGATGGCTTCTGGAAAACCTTCAAGAGGAGGAGTTGGTCTGGATCTCAAATCAAGAAAGCCAGTACCCCCTGCTGCAGGCATTGCGTCAAGAAGTGACGTCTCATTTGCAGTGACCATCCAGCCTCTAATTTCATCTTCGTTGGCATGTGCCAAATGCTCAGGTGACGCTGCAACTAAAATTCCCCTGTGAGATATCCAAACTGTCCGACTTCCTTCATGGCCAATGACCCTGGCGACACCACGCCAGTGATTGGGACCTGGAGTGTTGTCGGCTTCATCATAGTAGAAAACATAGTCGCCAACTCTGAAAGGCCCTCTGGTGGGCCGCACACGTCGCAATTCTGCACGTCGAAGAGCTGCATCATTGGCTGTGCGGACAAAAGCTTCCCTGGCGCTCATTCTGAGCTGTGTCTTGCGGAAAAACTTCGTGGTTGGAGTTGCAGCCATACTTTGAGCACCAATGCGTGAAATTTCTGCCTCATCTGTGAGATCTGCTGGGAGCCTCACACTCCTTCCCAGCACCCATTGTGCCGGTGAGAAACCACTTCTACGTGCTAGATTGTTTCTAGCTGCATTGATGGCACCTGTCGCCACCAAAACATCTTCTCTTCCGGAAACTTGTTCTGCCCAGACTAAACGTCTGAAAGTGGTCTTCCAAGTGCCTCCTGCTCTTTCCGCATAAGCTATCTGCCACGGGGATGCCTTGCTTGCAAAATCCACCACGCAACCTTCTTCGGACATTCGCGCTGCCAACGTGCCTAAAAAGTACTTTGCCCTATCAAGCACTAGACCTCTCTCAGGCATTCCTGCCCAATTGCACCAACCGACTTCAAAAGCTTGCAAAACTTCTTGGCTCGTCGGGTTTCTGAAAGTTTCACCCAGCAAAGTGCAAACCTGAAAACCAGTGCCCTCGTCAACGACATTGAGCCATGTCCATTCGCCACCGCTGGCGTCTTTTTCACTGAAAACATCTAAGCCAACTACCACGTTGAACTCATCAACCTGAGGTAGCCTCGAAGGCCGTGGTATTTTTGGCTCCAAAAGTCGTGGACATGAAGAGCATCGGAAAAGTCGGCATGCCTTTAGCGCCACTTCTGAAGCTTTGGAAATCCTAAGTGCTCTGAGCATGTCGGGCAAACGGGCATGTCCAAGGTTGGTGTGAATGCGCTGTATGGCCAACTTGAGCTCTCTAGGAAGAGCATTCCATTTCCTGAGCCTTTCTTCTTCACGATGTCTCAAAGGATCTGTAGGCTCACCATCACCATCTTCTACCTCATCGGCTCCTATTTGGGCACCGAAGAGGGTGATACACAGCCTCCGCGGTTGTCTTGGTAAAGGTCTCATTTGCGACCCTGGTGCTATTTGTTGCCAATCTTCCCAGCCAGTCGACAAAATGTCGCCGCTGGACATGAGGAGCAGAGTCTTTCGCAAGGGAACTTCAGCTGCCTGAGCATGAGGTTGTGGCTTTCGAAGTCGTCTGGCGTCAACTGAGGAAAGTATCAAACGAAGATCAACTTGTGCAGACTCCAACGCCTTCCACTCTTTTCCAACCTCTGTGGTCAGGTCTAAAATGATCCAATTCCCACTGGCCCCACTTTCTTGATACATCTCATGAGCCAGTTCCATCAAGGTCTTGACCATCTGGTTTTGATCTATGGACCAAAGACCCCGCTGAAGTTGCCGAGTTCTGACTCGTCTTCTTCTCAAAGCTCCTTTCTTCTCTACTTCCTGAGGTGCACTTTCTTCTGGTAGAGCTAGTTCAAGTGGATGCAAAGCAAAAACCGTGCGACCAACCCAAAATCTATCCAACTCTCGGCCACCATCAACTCGATCTGTCCAGTTGTCAGTGAATGTCCAAGTTCTGTCTTCATTGACAGTTTTGCAGTGAACTGTCCTCTGGCCTGTCAACCTGTCCAATGGGACCGGTGTCTCAGATCCAAGCAATGGAACAAAAAGATGCCTTCTAGGGACTCGGTGATGACGGGTAAGTTCTAGATTGACTTCATCCAGTTCCCAAGAGTCCTCATCTACTCCTGGGTTAGGCCCCTCATCTGGCCTAGACACTTCTTCCATCTCGGCATCTTCCTCATCCTCCACCGGCATGGCATGCTCGCCACGCAACTCGTTGATCACATAGATCAATTGCATCTCCTTGAGAACACCTCGGCAAATCGCCCGGCACAAAGCGGTGGGGTATGAAGCCGCTTGCTTGGATCGCTGGCCAAACTGGTTATTGCCAACGATGTGTTGATGTGAGCCATGTGGACAACTACACCTACGGCCGACTTCATTGAGAATCACTTCAGAATTGCCCAACCAACCAGTGCGCTTTTGCTCAGGCAGCCCACTGACTGGATCACGTTGACCGTATGGACACTGATCGCCAATGACAAATTTGCCACCACAGTCTGTCAACAAACTCTTCAAAATGTCATGGTAAGTCCAAGCTGCAGAAGGCAACGGATTTTCCAGCAGAAAGTACCTGTTGTGGTCATGTTGATACTTACAAATGTCCTTGACTAGCTTCAAGGTTTTCTTGCCGATTGTCTTTCTCAGCAGCTCCCAATTGACACTCGGGCTCATGTTGGTGAGCAAACTCCAGATTCGGCAATCAAAGGCTATCAGGACAAGAAAAGGCTGGTGAATTGCTAAAGTCTTCCAAAGTAGTGCTTGGCCTTCTTGAGCTAAAAGATCATGTCCATCTAATCGGTCAAGTGGCTGGCTATTGGTCCAGCCCCACTCGCTACTGGCAACACGTGTGACTCCAAATTTGCCTCCAAACGGTTCAAAAATCACGGTATTCTGAAAACCCCTAGTTGCGGCTTGTTCTGCCAAAGAGTATTGACAGCGAAGGGCTGCCCAAGAACGCTGGTCTTCTAACCTCAAACGCCTTGTGACCTTGGCTAGCTCCTTGGCACGTCTGACCTGCAAATCACAGCGCTTGTCACTCAACTGAATGCCCCGAGGCCCAAATTGTGCCTTGCAGCTAAAATCTTGGTCTGGAACTTGCACTGTGGAATCGCCAGACAAAACACACAACTTAGCTTCGTTGTTGTAATAAACAAAAAGATCATCGTTGATGGAGTGACAAACCGGCGCTCCATGTCCTGCTGGTTTGAACTCTGGACAATCCTCATCAAACGAAACCTTCACTGCTAAGTGCTTGGTGCATGTTTCAACCATGGGGATATCAAGCTGCAATTCCTCTACCCGCATGATTTTCTTCCTCACAAACAAAATGGCATCAAGAGCTGCAAGGGCTGAAATGCTGAGCAGGAGCGGGGTCGTGCCTGTGCCAATCTCAGCTGACTGCACCATCCCTGGACGGTTGCCCAGAAAAATTGGTATCTTCCACACTGGAACCTTGGTAGAAGTTGAACTTCCGTCAGCAAAATGGAAAATCTTGGTGCGGCCAGTCTTTTGGCAAACAAATCCAGAAGGCAATGTCTTTTCATAGGCTTCCCTCCACTTACGGGAATGCATGCAACTCGTGCAGGCTGTGTCCACGAGGCCCAACTTGGATTCATCAGCATTGGAGCCATTACCCAGCTGATGGTGTGACCTTAAAGCTTCTTGCACCTCTCCTGTGACATCTACCCTATCACCATCCTCATTGGCAACAAAAGCAAAGGTAAAATCAGCATTGTACAAATTCTCATGCAACATCCCCCGCTGTTCCAGGGGTGCTTCCCTTGCGTGGAGCCACAGGCTCCTTGAGCATTGATGGTCTGCAGACCTTGCTCTGCGGTCTTTGTGAATCTGCATCCAGTCTTTGGGAAATTGCTGCAGCCAAAGAACGGACTGCCTGTGAGGCGATTGCGGCGTGGAACCATCGGGACATTGCAAGCATCACATCGCAAAGAATCCACAGGCTTGCCCTCTTCCAAGTCAGAGAGATGAATCTGCTTGTCAGGCTTCTTCTCCGATTTTGGCGCTTCATGCAACATGTATGCCGATTCATCTGAGGAAGGCTTGCACTTGGCTTTGGGCTTTGGAGCGGCAAAAGACTTGGGCTCCAAAATTGGGGCACGAAAAGTACCGGCAACCTTCTCAACCTCACTGCCACTGCTATGGCCCTCATCGATCAAACGCAAGAACTTCATAGTGCAATTCTTCTTTGGCACTGGTGCTCCTGAAAACAAAAGGTTGAGACGATCGATCAAAACCTTCTTGTTGCCTGACGTCTGAATGCCCCAACGGTTGCAAATCTCTTGCAACTCATATGCCTTCTTGTCATTCAAATCCGAAGGTTTCACTGCCGTCAAGCTCTCAACCTCCTTGGTCTCGATGTGGGCATGCACAACTGGACGAATGACTTCCTGGGTCTCTGAGACGGATCTCGCTGGGACTTCGGGCTGAACTTCCCAGGAATGGCTTGCTCCGGGCATCGGGCTCGAACTGATGCGCTCCCAGTCTGAGGATGCATAGGATGCCGGAGGCTTGCGACGATCATCTGTCTCAGTGTATCCAGAGTCTTGCAGCATGTCATGTTCATCATCACCATCTTCACCGCGAACCATCAGGCAATGTTCGGGAGAAAGGATCAAATCTGCTCCCTCGTCATCCAAATCTGTCAAGTTGAAAAACGAAGGATCATCCGAAACCATGTAGGCGGACTTGCCCTTCTTCTGGAAACGTCCTTTGTTCTTGCCTTTTCCGCCACCACGATTGGGCCCTGAATTGCCGGCTTTGGGACAGCTAGGATCACCTGCCCAATGGCCAACTCTGTGACAGGCCGGACAGCGGCTCTTGGATTTCTCGCGGTTGATGAGATGCTGACGGTCCTCATTGAAGGAGTTCTTGTAAAAGCCCCTTGACTTCTGAACTTCGCGCAGCTTCTTCCGGGCTTCCTGATAACCTGAGCGAGACTTGTTCATAGCCATGTAGGCCTCATACACCTGGTCATCATTGGACGCTCCCTCATCGGAGCCAGCTTGATCTTCATCACCAGCAGCATGCATGGCATCTTCAGCTTGCTCATCCCATGACTCTTCATATCCATCCTCGGCTTCATCGTAGTAGGCCTCATTGGCTGTGGCATCTTCATCCCAGGCTTCATCTTCTTCATGCACTGCATAGCCCTTTCTGCCACCTTTGCCCATGGGACGTCGTAGATCTCGGCCAGGATGAGTCTTCTCTCTCTCATGCAAGTCATGGAAGGACACACGCAATGATTGCATGATCCCTTGACGGGCATAAGCACTCTGATTTGCCAGTAGAATGGAGCGGCGATCTTCGCGAGACAAATTGCAACCTTTCAAAACAAAATAGCTCAAAAGGTCTTCGCTCATAGCCGATGTCTCGTCCAGGTCTTTCAAATCCTCCCATGCCTGAATCTTCTTTCGCAAGTATTGGTCCACTGGATCTCCCCTGCGTCTGGTCGTCTGCTCAAAAAACCTGTCAAAGGCTTCAGTCTTCTTGATGATGCCCTCTTTCTCAATTGACTGAAGTGCTGCAAAGATTTCTTTGTAGCCATCCTTCTTCTTCAGCTTCGCAGGGTCCACGGTCAAATGCTCCACGGCTCTCCAGGCCTCTCCGTGCAAACCATTGATCAACTTGGTCGCAAACCTTTTCTGCTTCCGCTCTAAATCCGCCGCCTCCTTCTCCGGTGTGTCACCGTCGCCCTCTAAAGAACCATAGGCAAACAGAACTCTTCGCCGGTATTCTTTCATCAAATGGGAGTGCACACCTGTGTAGTGCGGCAGACCGTCGCGGTCCATACAGATCTCATGATCGGACCAGTACGGCTTAGCAGCCGATGAAGCATCCGCCATGGCACCAGGTAGCTCCGCTACCAGTGCGAAATGCACTGGTAACGCACTGAGCTCTTTTCACCGCAGGGACGAAAGTAAAATGAAACAAATGAATTCAGCTGTCTTACTGTTATGTGTACACTTCTCTGATTTGTGCTTGTCACTCTTGCCAACTGGTGCACTTCTCTATTTGTGGCGTGTCATCCAACCTCTGCTGGACTTCTATGATTTGTGCGTGTCATCTGCCGCAGCAGACCTGAAAACACCTGGGCCACTAAGGCCATCTGAGTTCGGGCCAGCTGAAGAAACAAATGGCGTCAAAGTCAAAGATAAAGACAAAGTCAAGCTACCTGATGCAGCGGCCGTTGGACGAAGGAAAATCTCACAATATAAGTATTAAGTATTTTGGACAAAACTACGCCACAATGGCGTTCAAATCTTTTCATGCCAGATCCGTGCAGTCTGTCCTGAAGGTCAAGTTCCCTGGCAGTCTCCCAGTACTTGTTGTATTCCTGGAGGGCTAGAAAATTGCTTCATGAACATAGAACAGATGGAGGTTTCCAGGAAAGGTACCCCTAAATCGTCCTGTTTTAGATTGGGATTTTCCAGTATAAACAATGCAGCTATTGGGGTACCAACATTTGTGGAAACCTCCATAGTCATGGGGGTAGCCCCATAGCTGGATGGTTTATCAATGGAAAATCCCAATCTAAAATGGATGATTTGGGGGTACCCCTATTTCAGGAAACCTCCATATATGATCATATATGAAGATATCCATATTATTGTGGGGTCAGGTATGTGGTTTTTGGGCAAGTAGACTGATTCAACTGTCCGAAGGCACATTTTGAATTGCTTGCCTTCACTTTTTGTACACCTCATTTTGGAACAGTTGTCATATCCAACACCATTGATGTGGACTTTCCTAGACCCAATGACAGTGCAGTTGCAGTGATTGCCTGAACATATGGACATCTTGTGGTATTACCATACTGTAGCTTACTCTCCAATAAATTCATGTAGATTTGTTCTGGATAAATAACATTAATTCACAAGCCTAAATTCGGCCATTTGACGTTGCGACGTATAGATCAACATGGATCCCATCACTTCATTTTTGTTGTTAGCTGGTCACCCTATGGTAATTTGACATATATATATATATACATATGAGCAGATGAAAAGTCAGCATTTTTTAGTATGTAAAACATGGTAAACCCATCTATCATGGGCCACTTTCCATACCTATGTAAAGTTGCGGCCAAACACCTCCTGCCCGAGGCACTCTCAAAACACTGTAAACAGTCAGTCATTCTGGCATTCCTGAAAAGCTCAGGTAGGGGACCTCTGCGTCGTTGCATAAGTCATACTGAACCCTAACACCATAATTTTTTGAAGCCTTAAACCCCAAACAATAAGCCCTAAACGTCGAAAAACAATTGAACATCAAGAGAAAACCTCAAAACCCGAAACACATAAACTCTAAAATCCTAATTCTAAACTTCTATGTAAACCCTAAAACCTTGGAAACCGGAAAAAAGTGATGTTGAGCGACACGGGATGTCTGCGTGTATACGTACCGAGTCGGCTTCCTCAAATATTTACCCAGTGTCGCTGGTTTGAATCAGATTGGGCCCGCATTACATCCCCATTGTCCATGTATTATATTATATATTATATATATAATATGTCTAATATGCTTTATTTTTTCTGCACATTGATACGAACAAAAACAAAAAAACTTTGCTGGTGAACGTAGATATTCCAGCAAAACACTCAAGGATCAGCAACTAGCCTCTGGTTATGTCAAACATAGCTATTGAACATAGCCCATAGTTTTATAGTTGATTTACCTATCAAACATGGGGATGTTCCATAGTTATGTCAGTTTACCAGAGGCTATAATCCTCTAACATCCCTGTTTTTTGGTTGATTGAACCCCCAACTAATCACCATTAAATCCCATTAAACCACCGTTAATGGCTACAATGTGGGGCCCCCTAGTTATAAGTTGGTTTATAATCCCATCTAACTATGGTTATAACTACCATAAACCCTAGTTATTGTAGTTATAAACCAACTTAGCTATCTTGGGGGCCCCACATTGTACCCATCCAGTCGACTCCTAACTGTCCTCCACGTAGTCCAAGGCCTCTTCTAACTGACGGTCATACTCCTTCCCGAGGCGACCGCTGGAAGGGGTGCGACCCGGCGGCCGGGGGTGGTACCCGAAATGGGGTTCGCATCATCCAAAACTGTGGTGGTCAATCTCACCGTTTCTTTTTTTTGGTTATTTACTAATTAAAGGAAAAACCACATGTGGGTGCGACCTCAAAATGGCAAATTGAACATGTACAGGAAAACTATGATAAAACGTCAAATTTGGGATTACCATGGATTACCCGGTTAATTACCATTTGTTCCAGGCAAACCCATATTTGATTATATATTTGATTGTCAAGAAACTAGGTTTCTTGTATAGTTCTAAGCTTATCAAACAAAATAGTGATGCAAAAAGCAACGGTGGCATGGTGAATGTGAAAGGCATCAGGTTCCAATGTGACAATATCTGGAGTGGATCTGCTCTTCACATGTCCCAAGGAGGGGATCATTCCAAATTCGGACTTGCAACGAAGCTCTGTTCACCACAAACTGAAGCTGCAAATGGAACCCGCATGATGAGGGTTGAAGGTCTGGATTTAGTCAATCATATAATCATATATATATATGGTCACCCCCCCATGATCTACCCAGACGCATTATATATATTTTTTATATGGGAATTACCATGCATATATATCATTATATATATAATGTACTCACATAGTATCATCGGCCTTACAAGGAAACAAGATGGCCGGCATGTGTGAACATTGAAGGGTTTGCTCACCCCAGAAATGTTGGGCATTCGCAACATACGCAACTTCCACAAGATAAAAACCAGTCGGACACCTGGAACATATAGCTAGTTCACATTCACATCATCTAGCTGTAGTTCACATCCTGGTTGACCACACTTTTCGGCATTTTCTTGGCATTTTCTTGGGGGGATTTTTACTACATAGGAACTTCTGCGATCGTCTTCTGCGTCCTTCATCCTCTTCTCATTGGCCTCCGAGACGCTGTCCTTCCAACCGATGCCCAAACGCTCCAAGAGGATACGATCCATCGCGCCAGATGCGGCCGCCGATGACCGGCAGATGTGACGGACGTTCGACTGGTGTGGGAAAGGTGATTTTTTGGGCTTGATGGGGTACCCAAAATTCCATCATTTGTAATTCATCTGTTATATGTTATGATTAAATTAATGATGAAATTATGATGAAATTAATGATTAAATGATACAGCCATGTCTGGAGAACCTTACCAAAAAGGACAGAACCAAATTGTTCCAATGTCTATCAAAAGGACATGAAACGAAGGACCTTTGGCCCCTTGAAAAGTCCAATGGATTTTGAGCGTTAATCCAAATCTAGGGCTCAACTTGGAAATCACCTGCCCAATCAGTCATCAAGTAACTTCAGAGAATGTTTTTATTCAGTTTCAACAAGGACTTTCCAGTTGAGAGGTACTTTACATGGTACAACCCCAAGCATAATCCTCTTGATGTGTCGCGTTGGCTGCCTTTTTCGGTCAGCTTTGGGCTGAGATTTGGGGCAATTATTTTCTAGTGGCAGGGAAGCCACAAAAGGGGAAGCCATGAATACCCGGCCTGGTAAACAGCCACATAACGAACTGGAAAGATCCACCATCTTTAAGTTCGGTAAATCAACTATAAAACTATGGGCAATTTTCTATAGCTATGTTTGATTTTCCATGAAATAAACCATCATAAACCATCCATTTTGGGGTACCCAGTACCCCCATTTTAGGAAACCTGCATATTTAAAAAAATACCCGAGGGTATTCATGGCCATGTCATCTGCATCTTGGACAATTCGCTGAGATGCAGGGGCTTTTTCTGGGCACGGGGGGGCCCGAGAAACTCATCGACCAAGCTGTAGGAATCCTGATATTTCCCAGCATCCCTTAACTTGCTGAGGCAGGACCTTCGGGATTTATTCATTTGGTGAAGGCCAACTGAAGCAGCTTTGCTAGTTGGATGTGTTTTCAAAGAACATCTCCAAAAAATACACAGCTTGTGACCCTGTTCCAGTCTCACCCTAGGAGTCTACTATCATAAAATCTACAATTAAAATGTATAAGTTATGCATGACTTGTCCCTCGCCAAGAAGTCCTCTTGGATAGCTCACTTTCACGTGGGTTGACCACAGGATATGGGGCCGGGGTCCAAACCCAATTAATTTCTCTGAAACTGGAGTACTCCCAATTCCAATGATTCCTCGTCTTGTTTCCATTAAAACAAGTTGAAGATACTTAAAACATGTAATTTTGTAGTACCCTCTTGTAATTTGATGTAGCTATGGAAAATCACCATTTTTGATGGGAAAACTCACTATAAATGGCCATTTTCAATAGCTATGTTAGTTTACCAGAGGGTATATCCAGCCCATCTCTTGTGTACATCCGTCTGAGGGAGCAGCAGCCACTCGGGGTCATCAAACTTGGGGTCGTAGACGGGATAGCCCCACTCCTGCACCCACGATAGATAAAGGGCCGAAGAACAACTGGCCCAAACATGGGACATGAGTTTGTGATCATATTACAGATGGATACATGTGGAGGTTTCGTAAAGTGGAAGTACCCCAATTCATCCAAGTCATTAAACCATTATTATAGTATCAAAATCCATGGTTTTGGGGATCCCCAAAACCATAAGAAACCTCCAAATACCTGGTGAGCCCCAAGTAAAGTGTTGGTCATTTTAGTCATCTCACCGAAAAAAAAAAACAAGAATACGCTGGAGCACTCGCAAACTCCATGACATATTACATTGGGTTTTCTAGGCAAGCTTTCCTGTTATAGTTACATTCATTGGCCAATGGAAAGGCCCCTTTGATTGGAATGGACCCAACTTATCCCTATGGGATCCGCTCAAACCTATAGCGTCCAAATAAATTTCTTCATAAATAGAATCTCCCCCTCATCGGTGTAGCCACTTGTATATATATCCATTGGTATCAGTATCCCCACAAATAGCAAACAAAGAACGTATATATATATAATTACGGATCAGAGATTGACCAGTAAATACACACTCCTAATCCCCTTCCCAGTTAGTTATAATCAATCTTACCTAGTGGTTTTCTGGATCTTCCCCACAGCCACTGGGCTCTCCTTCAGCTGTTCCTTGCTGTAGACTGGACCACTGGAAGCAGGCCTTAGTTCGAAAGATTTGGCTATTGCCTCCTATTGGATGATTTTGAAAAGGGGTTGTGCTACTGGGGACTCCCCAACTAACCAGTTGATCTGTGGGTCCAAGGTCTGAAATTTTGAAACATACATATATACATATATATATAGTATATGTCAAAGATATGTAGACTACTCTCAAAATTCCTCATCACCACATCACCGCATGTGAGCCGGGCTCATAATTACAAAAAGATTGTGTGGGTCTGGTTCCCACATGGTCCCACTAAAATTTTATGATTTGCAATGTGGACTTGACCAACAAGATGTCTTTTAACCATTTTTAACCCCCAAAAAACGACAGGATGCTTCACTAAATGGACTCATCCGGAAATTTGGTTGGGCAATGTGAAATTCTCATGTTCTATCCTTTCTCTGCGGTGAAACCCCGGTGAACGTCACAAAGAAGGGTGAGACTGGAATGGTTTGGACCCACCCTGGCCACCACAAGGTTGCTAACATGTTGCTATAATCCCTATTTTTGCTATTTCAACCGTCCATTTGGCTGCTTGAATCCAATTTCTGTTGCTAAAATATGCTACGATCATAAATCATCATAAATCCTTCATTATGTCAATGTTGCTACCCTCTGGTAAACTAACATGGCTATGGAAAATCACCATTTTTATTGGGAAAACTCACTATAAATGGCCATTTTCAATAGCTATGCAACAAATTTCCAGATGGTAATTGCTATAATCAGAATCTCCATCAATCCTGTTGCTGAAAATCCCAATTTGGTCGTTATCTCCTCTGGATTCCTCTGGGCGCTCCGGACGCAACGAAGGCGGGCGGTTTCTGCTTGGCGACCGTTAAACCTGAGGCCTCTGCTAAAGAGAAGTCCTGCCAAGCAAAGGACGGCTTTTGCTACCTAGAATTTGTTATTAGTTATTAGATGTTATTATACAGTGTACTATATAGTATATATATTTTTTTTAAAAAAAACATATATAGTATAGAAAACTATATAGATATATAATGATATATAGTGTAGAAATATAGTATAGACATATCCGAGAAGTATACGTGAGTTACTGTATTAGCTATCACTGATTTGTTCTTAGTTATTAGTGTAGTATACAGTAGGAATCAGGGGCCCTACTTTTGCATTGCCAATCTTGGACACCCTGAACAAAAAACACATGCTGGTTAGTATATACCATTGATATACCATATGGTAATGAAACATGGCTAGCTGGGAACTCCCCCATAAATGGAGATTGCTGGGAAATTCATCGAACTGAATGGGTGAATTTCCATTGCCAGCTTTGATTTCTGCAGGGTAGGACTAATGGGAATAGGATGCAACATTGAATCATATGATGCTTGAACTGCCTTGAATATATTTGAATACAATTGGATATATGACTGATAGTACTGTAATTCGCACTAAACTTCATAGGTTTTGCCATCATCATATTAGTGAATACGAAAGTATGTCGTAGTTCTATGTAGTTCTACTATTATGTCATATCGCTGTAAATGATCATAAGTCAGCTCCAAGAATGTATGGAGTTGACTTACTTAGGTATTTAATCTGCCAAGTTTGGGCAATAATTCAACCATGGCAACAGCTAGGCAAGGATCTAATCTACACAAATTGTGAATTTGACATGATTTGATGAACTAAAATCGCAACCTCATGGAAAATAAGATGTTCAACTCTTGAAAAGAAGAGAAATAGGGAGATTCACCAACCCTCTGGCAGTTCCTCCAGTTTGACGTTTGAATTGGCCCTACTTTTACATTGCCAATCTTGGACATTCGGAACAAAAAAACATGTTGGTTTGTGGATACCATTGATATACATTGATATACCATATAGTAATGAAACATGGCTAGCTGGGAATTCCTTCATTTTTTTTCGGGACTTTTCCCGTTCAAACCTCCAAATGTTCGGGGGATTTCCCAGCGAGCCATGCTTGATTTCACACCGGAGGATACCCGCGAACCCAGCTTCGAAGCCAGCTCCTTGCCCACAGATTGTTCCGGAAAGGACAGTTCACACTGATGTTGGATCTCGCCATCCTCCGTGGGAAGAGCCATCCAACTTAGGAAGATTGTTATAACTTAGTTATAACCCACTTGTCCATGGGATAACCCCAGCTAGGTGACTTCAGAACTGGCCTTGCTAGCCACTGACTAAGTTAGGAAGGTTGGAAAAGAAGAATGCTGGGCCTCTTTCGACAGTCTGGAAAAACAAATTAGACACATAGCTTTGCAGATGTGGGTTTGTCCAGAGAAGCCCAAAGTGGAAACTTCAACAGGGTTGCAGCAGTCGCTTCTGCCCATGTAGTTCCTAAAGGCACCCTGCCATTTGCTGGATCATATCCTGATGGAACTGAATAGCATCAATACTATGGACAATCACCAATACTACATCTGCTACATCTGGTCTGGTTGGTGGTTAAACCAGCAGCCAGAAAAATACTCGTCGTTTGGGAAAAATATAAAGATATGTAGAGATATGTAGAGTATATCATCCCTGAAAAAGATCCTGAAGTAGATCAACAAAAACTATCGCAAGGGGGTTGACTCAAAATTTCCTGACCATAGATTACCCTCTGGTAAACTAACATAGCTATGGAAAATCACCATTTTCAATGCGTAAATCCACTATAAATGGCCATTTTCAATAGCTATGTTAAATTACCAGAGGGTATTCATCATTCTTCAGGCTTTTTGTTGATGTTTTTTGACGTATCATTGCCTGTAATATCCTAACCCCACATGGCAACCGTTAAATCCACGCAACCTCCGGCGATTCATAGGTTGGAGGCCCTTCCAATACCCTGGATTAGCGTTATGGAGTTTTCGGCAAAAAAAACACGTTTTTTCCCCAAAGAATGCTTGGTAGTATATGATCAATGATCAATGATAGATGATCCCCAAT